GGGGGGGGGGGGGGGGGGGGGGGGGGGGGGGGGGGGGGGAGACGACGCTGGCAGCAGCGGGAAGGAGGAGGTTAAAATGGTGGTGCTGGGCAGGCGTGTGAGGGTAGTCTTGACGTAATGATGGCGCGGAAGAAGGAGTGCAGGTGGCCTGACATGGATCAGCGTGGTGGTGACTTGTCATTTCTGCCCACCTCAACACACAAGGTATGCCGCCGCCACCACACTTAGAGCACGCACAGGTGAAAAAAAATTAAACCAACCTGAAGCCGTGTGGGTTGGGGATCTACTGGCAAGCGGTGTACGCTGCAAACTCAGCAGGGCGACCACTACCGCTACCCCTGCTTGCGTTGCTCCTAGAGCAAAAAATATTGAGCATGCTTGTGAAAGATCACGAAACACACAATACACCTGAACCGCGCACGCCGCTCTGTGTCTTTCCGCGCACGAATACGCCAAATCTACGCGCGCACCTGCATGTTGAACTCGCTCTCCCCGTGGCGGGACATCCAGATAGGCCGCGGCTTGAGGTGCAGGTTAAGACAAAGAAGCGTTATCCTCCCGGGGATGTAACCGCTGATTAGGTTCGTCACCATCTGCATAAATTTTGTCGGCATCGAGGACCGAGCACGGGGGGAAGGGTGAGCGAGACCAGTTGAACGGTAGGTGCCGCTCAACGTTTTCTACGGAATACCTTCGGTTCGTTGTCCACCAGAGGGCCGAGTTAGAAGGGAAAAAAAGAAACAGCAGGCTGACGGTCATGACGCCGACGCGATGTATTGCTTGTTTCCGCCGCACAAGCACAAAAGCATAACGTAAGCACGCACGCAGTGCAACCCTTAAGAAACAACGAAGAAGACACCAAGCCAAAGCGGTAACATAAACAAGAGGCCGAGCAGCCAGGGGCAACAAACACCCAAGACTATACGAAGCACGGCAGAAGCAGCAACGAACTAAAGACATCCCCGCGGCAAAAACGAAGAAGAAATCTCGGCGGGAGTGACGTGGAAGCAAAGTATTCATCAACAAAAATAGCAAACCACAAACGGCAAAAAACTAGTAATGGCCACAACCGAGACACTTGCCTGGCTTCCCGCGTCGATGAGCTTGATGAAACTGTCGCCTTCTTGAGCGTCCAGCGGCTGCCATAGTCGCCGGTGGCGTTGTGAGTGGTGTGGCGTTACGAGGAGATGTAAAGCAGCGAGTGCGCCAGAACCAGAGTAGTTGCAAAGGCAAGAAGAGAGGAAAGGCATCCACGACGAGGTGAGCACACAAGGGATCCCGGGGTGTTTTTTCTGGCAACAAAGGTGGTGGTTGTAGGGTTCTGCGAGAGGCATGGGACCACACGGGTACTGCGGTGGGAGAGAGAGAGAGAGGGAGAGAGAAGAGAAATGGCAACGGAGAAAGAGGCAACGCAGAAACAAAACGACTGCACCAGGAAGGCAAGGGGCCTAACACACGACAAGACATTGCGGACGCATGCGCAGCAGCGGTGGGCGGTTGGTGTCGCGCAACAAGTATCCGTTCGCTCCACAGCAAAACCACAAGCGCGGCAGCCACCTCATAGATCCGTTCGTATCGCTCGATCCGGCTCCTGACGTCCCGCTCCACTTCCTCGACGGTCTTCTGCACGTACTCTGGGGAGGACTCCTGTATCGCCACGATGTTCCGCCGCACCAGCTCCTCGTCGTTGCAGATGCTCTCGATGAACACCACCTATTTGTTGGTGACACAAAACGGTAACCGGCCAGCACCGCTTCAACAACAGCATGCACACTCGCTGCTACCACTCTCGCTAGTGGACGCATCTTCGCCGACTCGCTCAGCACGCACACACACGAGTAGGAGTTGAAAAAAAAAATGACATCGCTCCGTCCCGGCGTTGTAGGGATGAGAGTTCTACGGTTTAACAACTACGGCATGCGTTTACATCAGCACCTCCCCCTCTCCCGCCTCACCTTTGCATGCAACCCCGACGCCACCACCGTGTTATTAAGCACACGCCTCCGCTCCGAGTTGATGTTGGACGCGTCGTAGATGGCGATGTCGATGTCGCTCTGCAGAGCCTCGAGGGCCTCGGCCAGCATCTCGGCGGCAAGGCGTTCGCGGATCTTCTCGCCCTCTCCTCCTGTCATTTTGAGCGTTCTTGTTCTTTTAGTTCGATGTTTCTGGCGCGTGTATGCATTTGTGAGCTAATTTTTTGCGTTGAAGTCTTCTGGCGCTTGTGTGTTCTCGTCTTTTAGGGAGAGCACCGTAAGGTTTTGAACGACAAACAAAAACATGCCATTCGCTTTCTCNCCCCCCCCCCCCCCCCCCCTCTCTCTGCCTCATGTGACATGCCATGAACCTGACCGCCGTGTCAACGCTTTGAATAAAAAACACTTCTCCATGCATGTCCCTCTTAGGCACGGGTCAGGAAATACGAGAGTGAACAGAAACGCAGTCCTCGGAATATTTCATATTTCGTAGATCTCGTAGATGTCGCACGTGTACATGCACATAAACCTGCGTCGAAGTAGTTCACAGGCTCGTACACGGCGATCTCCTTCCGCCTCCGGTCCTTGGTGCTGAAGATCCGGCTCTTTAGGCCCATCCAGTCCAGGTGCCGCAGGATGGACCTGGCAACGAAGGACTTGCCGCGACCCGGCAGCCCGACCATCGCCACGATCAACTTTTTCATCCGTCGTCGACACCAACCAACATCAATGTCGTCGTCGTAGTTGTTGTCGTTGTCGTGGTCGTCGTCGAAACAAAACAATTTGTTANGGGGGGGGGGGGGGGGGGGGGGGGGGGGGGGGGGGGGGGGGGGGGGGGGGGGGGGGGGGGGGCGTGCTCGAATGTGTATGTTGAATTTTTGTCGGAGATATTTGGCGATTTGAACAAACCGCGTATGCACCAGTACATGAGTGCATGTGTCAACCCCCCCTCCACGTCCTGCCGTTCCTGTGCCGCCACTACATTGCTGATCAGTAGTGCAGGAAATCCGCTCTATTAACGTTTCGTGCAGTGCGACAACCCACGCACCGTTTATCGGAAATAACAGGCAGTTTGAGGCGAAAGACACAAATACTTGTATCTAGAACCAGGAGCTACCATCTGAGGTGCACACTGTCACCTCTATCCCTCCATGAAAGCACACCCTACTACATGTACAGCACTAGACCACAACAAGAAAACACGATCCAGCAAACAGCCAGCACGCGTCCCGCCTCGCCGCCATCAAACGCGCCGGCGGCGCTCGAGTCAGGCCAACATGTAACCTACCCCCCTCCCCTCGACTTCGCAAGCCGGCAGACGATAGACCAAGGACGCCATATCAAGTGCATACCCCCCCCAACCCCAACCCCTAACAACTACCCATCTGCCAAAAAGAAGATACCTGGTGCCACCGAGGATGAGGGGAACAAAAAAACTACTTCAAACACTATCGTTTCACCCTTAGTTAGCGCTAGCAAAAGCAGGAGCGATACTATTAACAACACGGCGATGACGGCAACATGTGTGGCACCTTTCCATCCTTGCGCATTGACGAGGACACTATAACAACTGCTGCACCGCGTTAGCGTTACAACAACAAACAACACACGGCGCAACCACCGCGACGGTGGGCGGCGACGGGTGTTCCACGTTTCACCTCCTACCTTTCCGTCCTTCCGCACCGACGAGGACACGAGGCAAGCTCCCACCGCCGCGAGGGACGACGCCTCCACCTCTCTCCTCCGCCGGGACATCATCACCCGGGCCATCCGGGTCGCTTGCGACGCCTGCTCCAGGCAGTCGTCCTGCTGCCCCCCTTCCCCCCCCCCCCTAACAACGTCGTTGCCTTGCCGGTAACACCGCCGCCAGCGGATGATACACGGGCAGCAGCAGCAGCAGCAGCAGCAGCAGCAGCATCGCTGCTGCTGCCGGCGACGTCATTCGCAACGGTAGCGGCGTTCACGCCGTCTGCAGGGCAAGCAGCCTCGGCACCGGCACCAGATGATGATGATGATGCGGGATTAGCAACAGCAGCAGCAGCAGCAGCAGCAGCAGCAGCAGCAGCAGCAGCAGCAGCAGCGTCGTCACCTCCGTCGTCGTCGCCTTCTCCGAAGTAGCTCGAGGCCTTGAGGGAAGATGGCGGGCTCGGCGTGCTGAGGCTGTACTCCTTGAGGGAGTTGAGGTAGTCCGTCGCCTCCGCGCTGTTAATGTCTTCGGACAGCATCTGGGAAGTCCGCCATGAATCAGGCATTGGGACGGGAGGGTCGTCGGAGGGGGATAGGG